GTACCACTCTGGCGGGAAGGTAAACGGTGTTTCTGGGTGCTGCTCTGGTTCGCCAGAAGCGGCTTAGTCATGCTGGCCACATGACCCAGAAGCTGTATGCCGGCTCCCTCTGCCAATAAAGCGAGATGAGCACCGCAACCCCAGAGTCGTCTGCAACTGGACCTAACGGTCAGGGGTCCCTTTACCTTTACCTAAATCTGGAAGGTAGCAGGCTGGTAGAAACTGACACAAAGTAGAGTCACCACAGCAAGGAAAACCAACCCTAACAGAGTAGGGGGTTCACCAGAAGACACTTTGCCCAGTTTGTCCTCAAACCTGAAGCCAACCCAGAATACACAAATCAATTGTCCCTTCTAGTAAGCTCTGGAACCTGTATATTGAAGCCAGGTTCAGTGCTGGTGATTCACCTGAAGGCAATATGGCACCACGCTGGAAAACATTACCGAGTACCCATGATCACTTTGACGACTCCTGCAAAGTAAAGGGAAGCTCTCCAAATTATATATGGCTCTATGGAAGGATCTGCTTGTATACTTAACTGCCCTTTCAGCTTTCTCTTGATCCCTACCCCTTGTCTATAAATACTCCATTTTTTTCTGAAAGTAAGCATTTTAGTGAGAAAATTAGGGAGGGAAAGGAAAGGGGAATGTGGGTTGGGTTCCACTCTCGTGGAATCAAACGCCTATGAGGTGGAATCAAACGCTTTCTGAAACCAAGTCTTTTGCATGGAGGGAAAAAAGGCAACATTACTCAGGGCAGAACCATGTATTATAAAGAAGGCAGGATGCGCACTGTTGTGGAAGCTGCAGAACCAGTGTCTTGTTGGATCAGACCAAATCTCCACCTAACCATCTAACTTTCTCTACATTGGGCATAACTTGGCAATTTTAAATACCCATACCATAACCCCTCCTCAGCCGTGTTTTTTTAAAAAATAAACTCTGCCCACCTCCCAAGAATCTGAGGACATGTCAATCTTGTCTTTTCTCTCTGTTTCTCATTTTTTAAACCAAACGTCCAGTCTTTCACATTTCCACATCATTTTGAAATTATTGTGGTTTTTTAAAAAGAAAATATTCGCCAGCATTTGGGTGAGAATTTCTCTTGCACGTTTTTGTATGCCATTTCACCTAATACAAATGCTTTTTGCAAAGTAATTGCCCCCAATTCATGCATTTCTGCGTCTTATTTTCCACCAATATACGCATTTATCTGCACACTTTAATCAAGCGTGTGCACATTATTTGGATGGACTGCAAAATTCAGAGAAGTGCAGATTTCCAAGGATGGCTGGTCTATGTATTCTTCCGAGATGTGCAAATTAGGTAGATTTGCCTTTCAATGTGAACAGATTGCCTTTCAATGTAAAATCCCTTCCCCATTTTATTACTGCTCCCCCCCCTCCAGGTAACAGCTAGGTCAACCTACCTGATGCCCAGACCTCATTGCTACATATACTTTCCCAGCTTCTTGTTTTTTGTAAAATGTAGCTCCATCCTCAGAGGGTTTTCCTCACCACCATTTTCTTCCTTTCCAGTGTTTGGTTTGTTTATTTATTTATTGGCATCTCACCTGTTCAGGACCTCACTGGGGTTTTTTGTTTTTTTTCAGTTATATTTTATTAAATTTCAAAAGTTTCACATATACACTCCAATACATAATACAGTTTTCTTTTGTTTCATCAACTTCCCACCCGGTTTTCCATGGTGCTTTCCCCCCCATTTCTCCCCCTTTGCTGAACCCTAGCTTCTATCTTCTATGCCATAACAACAATACAATAATCTCTAATTCCTTCTGTTGCTCGTGGTTCAAATCCTGCCCGTGAATTCATCATACTATAGTATTTCTTTAAGTAATCCAAGAAAGGCTTTCATTCTTCCACAAGATTATCATCATTAGGCTCTCTTATTTTGGCTGGTAATTTTGCCAATTACCAGCCCACCACCTTACTTATTCATTCTTCTTTGGTGGGAACTTCTTCTTGCTTCCTGAAGATTATGACCCAGTCTGTAACTGGACTGGTTAAACCATGAATGTGGCCAAATACACAATAGGGTACTATTTTGTTTAATAGCTGAAGCTTTGAATAAAGCAGCCACTGAGGCTTACAAAAGACCTTTGTTCACGGCACAGTGTGCAATCTGGACATTTAATTTTTTATTATTACTTTTCCGAAGCATGTTGAAAGCAGGGGTTTTTTTTGTTGTTGTTCCTTTTCTGCCAGGATATTTACAGCACAGCCTGGGCTTGTCCTTCTGACAGCTTCAGCACACTAGCTTTGTTGTGTTGTCAAGTTTCCACGCCCTAGCTCAAAAAAGGAAGCCACAATCCCCAAAATAAGTAAAAAGAAAACAAATGCCCCAGAAAACCACAGAGAATACAAGAGTAAGGGATTTGTCTGCCGTCCCATTCCAGCAGGTCCCTTTCCCTCTCTCTGTAGTATTTGGAGGAGATCTCTCTCTCTGTGTGTCCAAAGCTTGTTTGAAGGAGCTACGCTGATAATAGAAATCCACCTGAATCGGTGGTGGTAACAATGTGCAGGGATATATGCCCATAGGGTTTGGTGGGTATGCATGGCAGGACAAGCTTATGAGCAACATCCATTCTGCACTAAGGGGTACTGTCAGGGACTGGACCTCAGAGGAGGTATGGTGGAGACATCCCACCCTCCTTCTCCTGAACCTTCTCGAGAAGAGGAGGCTAGTACAGTGGTACCTCGGGTTACGTACGCTTCAGGTTACAGACTCCGCTAACCCAGAAATAGTAGCTCGGGTTAAGAACTTTGCTGCAGGATGAGAACAGAAATAGTGCTCCGGTGGTGTGGCGGCAGCAGGAGGCCCCATTAGCTAAAGTGGTGCTTCAGGTTAAGAACAGTTTCAGGTTAAGAACAGACCTCTGGAACGAATTAAGTACTTAACCCAAGGTACCACTGTATAGATTTACAACAGTGGTTTGCAGAAGGTCATGACTCTAAGACAGAAGAGGGGGAAAGCTGGGAGATAACGGAAAAGAAAGGCAGGAAGCAGCAGAGCTGGAGCAGCTGGCTGACACATTATCATTAGAAAGCATTCCTGACCCTGCTCCTCCTGGAACCCGGCGTGCATCAAGAGTAGTAGAACAGAAAACTCAGAGGCAGAAAGCACTGATCAGCCGGTGCGGGGATGATGTACAATAGGCGAGATGGAGGGGGTGGGACTTTACTCGGAGAAATTCCATTACTGGGATGGAGAGGCATATTGAATAAAGGACTTGGTAAGAACTCTTCCTATTATCTGCTTCTTGGCTGCCCACTGGAGGGAGGGATTAGATTTCCTGAAGCCTGACAGGTACCTGCACATGAACCGCTAACTGAGCAGGTGTCCTAATTTGTTTGCAAAAGGCTTCTGCATACAATGCCCACTATTTATTTGTTTAATGAGCATTCATTCTGACTTGTCTGCATGGAGGTTATATGGCCTGACCACCACTCCATAGTTCTCCCACACTTTCTGGTGGATTTCCCTATCACTTTCATTTCCACAAGAAGTCTGGTGATTTTCAAAGCTGGCTTGTTGCACAAGAGGACTGGAGCGCTTTGAGCCCTAAACTTGCCAAGACGTTGAACCACATAACACCAGTCCTGAAAGACCTACATCGGCTCCCAGTACGTTTCTGGGCATAATTCAAAGTGTTGGTGCTGAGCTTTAAAGGCCTAAATGGCCTCAGCCCAGTATACCTGAAGGAGCGCCTCCACCCCCATCGTTCAGCCCAGACACTGAGGTCCAGCTCCAAAGGCTTTCTGGCGGTTCCCTCACTGTGAGAAGTGAGGTTACAGGAAACCAGGCAGAGGGCCTTCTCGGTACTGGCACCTGCCCTGTAGAACGCCCTCCCACCAGATGTCAAGGAAATAAACAACTATCTGACGTTTAGAAGACATCTGAAGGCAGCTCTGTTTAGGGAAGCCTTTAATATTTTGCTGGAAGCCGTCCAGAGTGGCTGGAGAAACCCAGCCAGATGGGCGGGGTATAAATAATAAATTATTATTATTATTATTATATTATATTATATTGAATCCCTCCCGCAAAATAGTGACAGGCTGGAGGTGAGGAATGACATGGCCTAGTTACACTTCCTCAACCACTAGACATGCTTTGCACCCTCAGGTATTTTTGTGGGGCTGGAATGTGTCCTAGGACTCTGATGATCCTCTCACTGGTCTGGATGGACCGTAGGGAGGGGAGTGCGAATTCTGTGTAGAAACCAGCCTGCTGTATAAAAGGGAAATCATCATTCATTGCTCCACCCACTTTTGCCTCTGGCCACACCCACCAATGACATGCGGCTCCTGGAAGGTTGCTCAGAAAGGTAGGTGGAGATGCTTCTCCCTCCTGCCCTAACACTCAGCAAATGTAGTTTCATAATGATGGCAAATGTTTCTTCTTTAGAGGTTGCCCTCCATTTTGCTGTGGCCAAGTCAAGAGAACGATCAGGATAGAAGACACTCAAAATCTGCTCATGGATATGTGAAGGGGATATTTGAGTCCAATGTGGCTGTGAGGTCCACCACGGGTGTCACATGTCACTTCCAGCTCCTCTCATGCATGGTCCCTGCACAATCAAGGTTCTAAATTGTGCAAGGAGACCCCCTGAGTACAGCAGGCTCCATGCTGCAAACATTGGTACCGAATGCGTGGGAAGCTGGAAGGAGCCATGTGACAACAATGACAAAGCTCCTTTACTGCCCCTTCATACAACTGAGCAGGGTTCATGCGTCATTTGAAATGGTTGGAAATTCATCTTTAGACAGAATCATCACATTCGCCTTCCGTGCCTCGTGGAGCAAGGCAGCCATTTCAATTGTGCAATGCGCTTTGGAACTCCATAAAATATTGCCTCAGTACTACAGGACCTGCTGTCCCCATTCACTCCCCCTATTGCAATTTTGTCCCAAATTCTACCATTTTGCCTTATTAGTACTGATATCTATGGGTGGCACCAGTACTATCTGAGCAACTTCTCACTTATTTGGAAGTGCTAGAATTATTGGAATCACTAGAGTCACTGGAGGTGCTGCTGTCATTGGAACTATCAGAATCAGTGGAATCAGTGGAGCTGCTGGAATCACTTTGCCCACTGGAGTCACGGGAGTCAGAAGAGTTGCTAGAATCACTAGAGTCACTGGAATCACTAGACTCAGAAGTATTACTTGGGTCACTGGAGCTGCTGGAGTCACTGGAGTCACTAGAACTGCTAGAGTCACTGGAATCACTGGAGTCACTAGAGTCACTGGAACTGCTAGAATCACTGGAATCACTGGAACTACTGGAGTCACTAGAGTCACTGGAACTGCTGGAGTCACTGGAATCACTGGAACTGCTGGAGTCACTAGAGTCACTGGAACTGCTGGAGTCACTAGAGTCACTGGAACTGCTAGAGCCACTAGAGTCACTGGAACTGTTGGAGTCACTAGAATCACTGGAACTGCTGGAGTCACTGGAGGTGCTAGAATCACTGGAGTCACTAGAGTCACTAGAATCACTGGAACTGCTGGAGTCACTAGAGTCACTGGAGTCACTAGAATCACTGGAACTGCTGGAGTCACTAGAGTCACTGGAGTCACTAGAATCACTGGAACTGCTGGAGTCACTAGAGTCACTAGAATCACTGGAACTGCTGGAGTCACTGGAGGTGCTAGAATCACTGGAGTCACTAGAATCACTAGAATCACTGGAACTGCTGGAGTCACTGGAGGTGCTAGAATCACTGGAGTCACTAGAATCACTGGAGGTGCTGGAGTCAGGGGACCCATTGGAGTACTCTGGGCTTCCAGAGTTTCCTGAAGTGCTGTCCTGTTTCACCTCTTCCTCGTTTGAACCACTTGAACTATTTGGTTCTCCAGGCTGCTGACTGAAGTTGCTCTGGCTCTCTACCTGCTGACTAGACTCAGAGTCATCAGTATAACCTGGGTCATCTCCTTGCATGCCTTCATCACTGAAATGGTAGCCGTTCAGATGATAAGGGACATTTTTTCTCACATCAAACTCATGGCTGGCCTGGAAATCCTTGATGTTCTGTTTGCCAGCAAACAGATCTACTTCCGAAACGATGGACTCCTCTGTGGTCAACACTGGACCATGAACTGCATTCTTCTCTCTCAAATGCTGCGAGCCATTTTGTTCCGCATTGCTAATCGTTTTAAGAAGCGCTACATCCTGGCTGCCAACCTCTTTCTCTGTTGGATATTCAACATAGCTCTCCCTGGTTTTTTCTGTGTTGGGCTGACTGTGGCCTTCGGCCTGCACAAAGCCGTTGTCCTCATGGAGCAGCAGACTCTCAGTTTCGTGCAGATAGCCTCCTTGGGAACGGATAGGATCAACAGTAGAAACTTCTTCAGCAATGGCATATTCTTTGGTGAGATCCAGAAATATTTCTCCTTCCTGGAGACCCTCATCTCCATTCTGCTGGTTCCCATTCGCAACGGCAGAGCTGGTCTCTAAGACTCCTTTATCTGCACTGATGGAATTAATATTGCCCTCATAGCCTCTCCTGAATAGAATTCCACTTCTTTGGATCTGCCACATGGAAGTAAAATAAAACATCAGTGTTTTAAGTCAATTCAAAGGTATATATGGAATCTCCAGGAAAAGGAGGAGATAGTCAGTTTAAATCTTGCCATATTGACACTAATTGACTCACTAATTGCTCCTAAGTACCAGGACATTTAGGGACACGGGTGGCGCTGTGGGTTAAACCACAGAGCCTAGAACTTGCCGATCAGAAGGTCGGCGGTTCGAATCCCCATGACGGGGTGAGCTCCCGTTGCTCAGTCCCTGCTCCTGCCAACCTAGAAGTTCAGAAGCACGTCAAAGTGCAAGTAGACAAATAGGTACTGCTCCAGCGGGAAGGTAAACGGCGTTTCCGTGCGCTGCTCTGGTTCGCCAGAAGCGGCTTAGTCATGCTGGCCACATGACCCGGAAGCTGTACGCCGGCTCCCTCGGCCAGTAAAGCGAGATGAGCACCACAACCCCAGAGTCGGCCATGACTGGGCCTAATGGTCAGGGGTCCCTTTACCTTTACCAGGACATTTATGAAACTCACCAGGGCCAACATTTCCTACCTTTCCAGCGCTAGGCAAAGGTGTGTGCCCCCCCCCCCCAGCTTTTAATGGCTTTATTAAACTTGTTGCTGCTGTTTTAGGCTTCTTTATATTTGCCATTATTGGTTGTATTTTGTATACCGTACTTGTCTCTTTTTGTAAAGCGCTATTGATGCTGAGCAGAAAGACAGTATATGGCCCCATCTGCATTGTACTTTTAAAGCAACATCATACCACTTTAGCTGAAGAATCCTGGGAATTGTAGTTTGTTAAGGGTGCTGAGAGTTGTTAGGGGGCCCCTATTCCCCTCACAGAACTACAGTTCCCAGAGTTCCCTGGGAAGAGGAATTGGTTGTTAAACCACACCAAGGAATGTAGCTCTGGGAGGGGAATAGCAACTCTCAGCAACTTTAACAAGCTACAGTTCCCAGTATTCTTAGGCATAGGGAAACTATGACTGTTTGATACCGCTTTAAATATATACTGCAGAAGGGCCAGGAAGTCCATTAGTCAACTATTGTTTATATCCTGCTGTTCTGCAGTCACACTCCAAGTAGCAGTCAACAACAACAACATACCTAGAAACCAATCTATAAGATTTAAACAATTTGAATGCAATATATGATACACAGCTAAAAAAGAAAACTGAAGAAATTGAGATGACTCAGACGGTAGAGTGTGACACACTTAATCTCCCAGTACGTTTCCGAGCACAAGTCAAAGTGTTGGTGCTGACCTTTAAAGCCCTAAATGGCCTCAGTCCAGTATATCTGAAGGAGCGTCTCCACCCCCATCGTCCAGCCTGAACACTGAGGTCCAGTTCCGAGGGCCTTCTGGTGGTTTCCTCGCTGTGAGAAGTGAGGTTACAGGGAACCAGGCAGAGGACCTTCTCAGTAGTGGCACCTGCCCTGTGGAACGCCCTCCCAGCAGTTGTCAAGGCAATAAACAACTATTTGACTTTTACAAGATATCTGAAGGCAGCCCTGTTTAGGGAAGTTTTCAATGTCTGACACTGTATTGTTTTTAATATTCGGTTGGAAGCTGCCCAGATGGGCGGGGTATAAATAATACATTATTATTATTATTATTATTATTATTATTATTATTATTATTATCTCAGGTTCATGTGTTTGAGCCACACATTAGGTAGAAGATTCCTGCGTTGCAGGGAGAAAACTAGATAACCCTCATGGTCTTCCAACTCTATGATTCTGTGATTGTCGGTGAAATAGCAAAATCCACCAAATGGATGTCAATAGCATGTCAGAATGAACAGGTTTTCCATTCTTGTTGAAAGGCGCTACCATGGAACTCCTGGGTTTCCCAAAGAATTAAGTCCATTTTCTGCAAAGAACTTATGCAAGCCACCTAGTTTTCAAGCACGCAAGTACTGCAATTAGCAGGACTCTTAAGATGTTTGAAGATTGAAGCATTTTGGATTGCATCCAACAGAGCTAAGCTGCAAAAGGAAGCAAGGTGGAAGGCACTGGTCAGTCATGAAAGACCTGCTCTTGTAGGCTAAGCAGAAGCTCGGAACATTCCTTAAATCTTTTATTTATCTGCTGTTAGGACTTTTCATATTTTGTATACTTACCGGGGAAGCAATGGCTATACCAATGATATATATCAGCAAAATCAGAGTCTTCATGCTTGAGATTGCTTTCTGTGAGGAAATGGAAAGTGTATTATATATTTCACTACTAACACTGAGTATTTAATTACATAGCAGAGATATACAATGAAGGCTCATATAGCTTGAATTGGGGCAGGGGGGCTATACCAGAAGAACCAACAAGTGAACCATTAGGGGGAATAACTAAATAATGAAAACATATTATTCATATTGACCAGCAATCAAAACTGACATTATAATATTGCCATAGAATGCAAATAGCACCCTCAGTTGAAGTATATAAAAAATCCCAACAGAACAACTATGCAGCAAGTATAGAAGCAGATGTGTTATGTAAGATTAGTTTTGAGGATCTGGTCAAAACCTCTGAAATTAGAAAAAGCAGGATAATTTTTTCAAATATAAATAAAGTGGACGTATACAAAAATGAACATTATTTTCCATCTTACTGTAGGCTTCGTTTCATTTCGAAAAATAAAATTTTATTTTATGGTTTATTATTGATTTTTTTGCCAACTTAGCAGTTGGAAAGCACACCAGTGCAAGTAGATAAATAGGCACCACTGCAGCGGGAAGGTAAATGGCGTTTCCGTGCAGTCTGGTTTCTGTCATGGTGTTCCGTTGCGTCAGAAGCAGTTTAGTCCACATGACCCGGAAAGCTGTCTGTGGACAAATGCTGGCTCCCTTGGCCTGAAATGTGAAATGAGCGCGACAATCTCATAGTCGCCTTTAACTGGACTTAACCATCCAGGGGTCATTTACCTTTACTATTTTTTCCCTTTTACCTTATATTTTGAATCAGAGACAACGAAGAACAGAGTTTGGCACATCATTCCGTGTAACACAGACTCCCACGGCTCACTGAAAGGTGGCAGTACTATTCTGAGACAAGCCACTACCCGTCTGAAAATATACCAGCCTCTCCAAAAAGGGACAGAATTCTTGGAAATGTAGAAGTCTGCTGAATGCAAAATGTAGCCCTCACAATTACATTAAGTCCTTGCTTCTACCATGTCGTTTATATATAGGACAGAGCCCCCTGGGTGGCTGAAACTGAGCTCTGACTGTGAGGGCTCCTAATCTGTTATTTCCTCTCTCTAGAATATTTGACGGGAATTAGGGTGAGAACTGTATGTTGCAAGTGCAGGGTATTTGCATGCAATCCTATAAAATCCTCTTTGTTGCTCACCTGCCGGTCTCAATAAGCCTATTGAGACTACTTAATATGATACAGAGTAATAATTTTACTGCCTGAGTAATAATACATTTTCCTTGCAAAGTCCAGGATCTGGGTTTCCTTTCTTGTGTTGAGAGAGTGACACAATGGCAAACAAACCTAGTCACTTTTTAGACTGATTAATGTTCACTGCCCATTCTTCCAAAAGTGTAAATTATGCTGAAAACATCTGGCAGGGGTAACAATAAACACTGCTGCAGCTGGCAGAGGCTTTTTGCTTTACTTTTTTTTTTGTTCTCTAGCAGCAGAGCACTAAATGTACACATCTAGGCCTCAATTATTGACACCAGGCCTGGGGCTTGATGTGCCACCCAAGGCCAGAGAAGCCACATCAGTTGGTTAATCATAACTTCTATGGCTGACTAGAGGATTCTGCATGAAGCAAAGGGCAATCTTAGCTGGGCATTTCCAGCTAGCACAGGGTTCTAGGCATTGCAAAACCACAGGGGAGGCAGAAAACTCATAATAATGGGTTTCCTTCGGTCATGAGTGTGACATTCCCATTTAGGTGGAGAAAATGCTCTCCTTCTGTGGCTGGAAAGAAAGAAAGAAAGCTGCAGGGGAAATCTCCAGACGCAAGAGAAAATCCACTATTCCACATGGTAAAAAAGGAGGGCTGGGAGAAACCAACGTTCTCTTTTGAAAGTAGCTAAGAGTTAATTATTGTGCATGGTTTAAATCAATGTACCTATTGAGAAATTCTTTTCAAACCATATTTGGCTTTTACAGTTTCCACAGACGGGTGGGTGATTCACAAGCAATTGCCAAGGGAGTCAAGTGGGTTTTGTTGGTAAGCATTACCCAAAGGGCCACAGTTCAGTGGTTGAACATCTGCATCCCAAATTTCCATCGCCAGCATCTTCATGCAGGGCAGGGAGAGACCCTGGTCCAAAGTCTTATAGTCATGGCTAGTCAGTGTGGACCATACTGAGCTAGATGGACCAAGGATCTGATTCCATATAATGTAGCTCCCTATGTCCATATGTTCCAAATGGAAATTAAGCAGATGCTTCAAAGGAACCATTAGAAAGGGGAACCCGAGATGAACCAAGTTTTAATGAAATCTAAAGTTTGCATTCTTTGTAGTATCAGTCACTGAATCAGATGGCCACATCTTAATGTGGTAAGCTTCCTGCCACTAAACCTGGGTAACTCCCCCACTCAAAACCTATTAGAGAGCCAGTGTGGTGTTGTGGTTAAGAGCGGTAGACTCGTAATCTGGTGAACCGGGTTCGCGTCTCCGCTCCTCCACATGCAGCTGCTGGGTGACCTTGGGCCAGTCACACTTCTCTGAAGTCTCTCAGCCCCACTCACCTCACAGAGTGTTTGTTGTGGGGGAGGAAGGGAAAAGGAGATTGTGAGCCGCTTTGAGACTCCTTCGGGTAGTGACAAAGCGGGATATCAAATCAAACTCAAAAAACAAATCGGGGGGGGGAATTCTGGAGGGCACAGCAGGAGCAAAGTATATTTCTAGGTGGACAAAAAAAAATAACAAATAAGGCAATCTTGTAGGTGAACTGGTCCCAAGTAGTTAAGGGCTTCGTATACTAATGGTAATAAGGGACACGGGTGGCGCTGTGGGTTAAACCACAGAGCCTAGGACCTGCCGATCAGAAGGTCGGCGGTTCAAATCCCCGCGACGGGGTGAGCTCCTGTTGCTCGGTCCCTGCTCCTGCCAACCTAGCAGTTTGAAAGCATGTCAAAGTGCAAGTAGATAAATAGGTACCGCTCCGGCGGGAAGGTAAACGGCATTTCCGTGCGCTGCCCTGGTTTGCCAGAAGCAGCTTAGTCATGCTGGCCACATGACCCGGAAAGTGTACGCCGGCTCCCTCGGTCAATAAAGCGAGATGAGCACCACAACCTCAGAGTGGGTCACAACTGGACCTAATGGTCAGTGGTCCCTTTACCTTTACCTTTATACTAATGGTAACACATTGAACCTGAACTGGTAGGAATTCAGAAATGGAGGGCATGTGGGGGATGAGCTCATTGCTTGTGGGAGCTGCTTGCCCCCTGTCTAGCACCACCAATGCAATCTAGACATGGATTTCATGTGCAGAGACTGTGTGTGTGTGTGTGTGTGTGTGTGTGTGTGTTTACTTTTAAAGTCAAATAGCATCATGGGGAGCCTGATAATTATCAACATTGCAGCACGCACAGTGGGAAAAGTTAACATTTTCCTCCCCTGCTGTGGTCATGAAGAGAATCCTGCCCCTGGAGCCAGCATTTGCTTTGGAGGGGAAGTCCCTGAGTGATGTCAATGAACAGCATCCAAAGGGGGTGATTTTCCTCAAGACCACAGCGAGGGAGAAAAGAGTTACATTTCACCTCTGTCCCAATGTCGGCACCACCAGCTGATGCTATTTGCATTTTTATTAAAACAACAACAACCCAGAGACATTTTAGATGCAATGACGCATTTGATATCATGCATATCATGCATGAGTTTGACCAAACTGCAGGAGGCAGTGGAAGACAGGAGTGCCTGGCGTGCTCTGGTCCATGGGGTCACGAAGAGTTGGACACGACTAAACGATGAAACAACAACAACATATTGTAGACCTAAGTAAGACCATTGCTTCTTCTGATCCAGAATTGCTTGCTCTGGTGGTGTCCGCACTAAGCAGGTATCTCTCCCAGTTCTGCTACTTGAGAAAGTTTATTTTTCAATGGCGATGCCAGCGATGGAACCTGGAACCTTCTGAATGGACAATAGCACAGGGGCTGCTATTGCCATAGTGATGATCTCCTACCAACCTGTCCTTATCCGAGGATGCCACATTTTTAAAAAAAATATGGCTCCTGTGCCTTTATCTGCATTTACAGCAAACAGAAATTCAACAGGGAGCATCCCTCTTCACAACTTCTGCCTGCTGGGAAAAGCTGAAGCTGTTGAGATTTCTGCCTGCTGAGTAGAAATGATCATGTAAACTGATGACACATATAATTGTGTGATAAATTTGCAAAGTACCTCTACCTCCTTCCAGTAAACCACAGAATGCTAATTGCTGTTAACCTTCCTATGCAAAATGGTTGATTTTTTTAAATAAAAAAACTAGCTTTGCTACCTGCTAAATGTCAATGCACTCATACAAATGATCACTGTATTGGTTGTAGGAAATATTTGATATGTATACATTGTTTGTCCTTTTACCAAATTAAATAAATTCAGCAAGAAACCGTCTGTTTCAAAGTAAAGCATGTTCCACTTACCTTCTTTGCTGTGCTGCAGTGAACAATCTTAAAATCATTAGTGATGTTTTTTTGATGCCTCTGTGCCTCAGTTCTCTGAGGTAAGGACCCACGGAAGTACCCTGCAAGAATTTAAATAGTGTTTTAGCTTCTAGGCAACCAATCAAAGCCTAGCAACTTAACTGTGACTTCACACAGGGTCTTAAGCGAAAACCCACTAATCCCCCCCGTTTGTCCTTGAAATGATTATGTGCCTTGTGCACTAAATTGAAATTCTCCACTTCTTCCCCACTCAGGCAGAATGCTAGATAAGTATATTCCATGGCTTGTTTTTGCAAGATAATATATATTATGAATGCCAGGCAAATCCCCGCTTCTGTGATTACTATATTCCTTTACCTACGTTTTTCCTTTTGAGATATTCAGGTGCATTCTAACTGAAAGGTAAAATTTTAGTGGCACTTCTGATCCGGTTAACTTATACATCAGCCTACCCTTTAATAGCTATTTTTTGTGATGCTCCATAATCAAATCTTCTAGCCTGGCTATTGTCACAAGCCTTCCACTTGTTCAGACAACCACGTTTCCCACTGCAATGTCCCTTGATTTTTGCAGTCATCAAAGCCTTCTCGGCAGCTACTTTTTTTACACATCACTTAGCATCCCATCTCTGAATAGATGATAGACTTTAGCCACGCTAGGTTTTCGCACATGCAGTCAAACAAACTGTGTTTTCACCACACACCTGGTCCTGGTTTTTCAATGCATGCTGACATTTTGCGATGTCACAGCTGACAAACCGCTGGAAACCTTTGTGGTGGCACAGCAAACTTTCAATATTCACCAAACAATTGGAATGTGGAAGGGCTTTGAAGCAGCCCTGTTAATGAAGTCATGTTTCACTAAAGTCTCACGTATTTAGGGCCTCAAAATCTCTGAAAGTAAGAAGGTACCGTAGAAAAGAATTTCCCCCAGAAGAACAATGTCCAAAACTCATTGGGAGTCAGCTTGTCAATAAAGCTTTCTCTCTCTTTTGCACCAAATAGTTTTCACTTACTTTAAAAAAAAAGTGTTTGTTATATATTTAACTGTACAAACTCTAACCGATAATAGAGGGTTGTTTTTTAATGTAAAAGATCTAATCATTGAATGTTCAGGTTAAAAATCTAAACAGAGTCTTTATGCTCACAACATTACAAAACAGTACTGAATATGTAGTCAATGATCTCTCCCTCAATTTTGGGCATAAAGATAAAGGTAAAGGGACCCCTGACCATTAGGTCCAGTCGTGACCGACTCTGGGGTTGTGGCGTTCATCTCGCTTTATTGGCCGAGGGAGCTGGCGTACAACTTCCAGGTCATGTGGCCAGCATGACTAAGCCACTTCTGTCGAACCAGAGCAGCGCATGAAAACGCCGTTTACCTTCCCACCGGAGCGGTACCTATTTATCTACTTGCACTTTGACGTGCTTTCGAACTGCTAGGTTGGCAGGAGCAGGGACCGAGCAACAGGAGCTCACCCTGTCACTGGGATTCAAACCACCGACCTTCTGATCGACAAGCTCTGTGGTTTAACCCACAGCGCCACCTGTGTCCCTTCAATTTTGGGCATACGTCCATGAATTTTGTCCATGAATTTGCCTTATACACTTTTGAATCCACTTAATGCTAAGGGCAAGCAAATTCCATAAACCGGTCATTTAAATAAGTGCTTCCTGAGGTTTCTCCAGACATAACTGAATTTCCTGGACATAACCAAAAATCGGCAAAAATCCGGACGTATGGAAACCCAAAAATTTTGGTCAGTAGAGAAAGATCTCTGATTGCTGGGCAGAGCAATCACAGAAGGCCACAGACCTAGTTACAGTGTGAACAGCATCCATTCTTTACAAGCCTAGATGACCCTCATAGTTTCTTCCAATCTACAATTCTATGATTCTATTAATTTTTTTGTATGTTGTTTGCTCTATGAGCTGCCCAGGGAACTCTTTTTGTGGGGCAGCTATAAAAATATAAAAAAATAAGCACAGGGTTGTGTGAAACTGTTCTAACATATTTATTGCTCATTTCTGACTTCCCATTAACTTTTCAGCCTCTCCCTTTCGTTTTAATAAAAAAAATCATACTAACGAAATATACAATATAAAGCCCTTTTTTCTAGCAAAGTAGCTCCTGGCCCTGCTTTCTTTTTCTTTTTTAAAAGCCACTGAAGTGTTTGTTCAAAATAGTTATTATATACTATATTGTAGATTTCACAGGTATGTGATACATATATACCTAATGGGCACCCTTGAGGGAGCAGTAGTCATTACACTATTGAAAAGCAAAGCCCTGGAGGCTCTGATGAAATTATAGATTTGCATTCTCAGGAAGCCAGGGCTTCAAATAGGAAGGGAAGTCTGCCACCATTCAGCACATAGACAAAGTGCTTGTTTGTAGGAGTCCCTTCTGCTAACAAACAGCCATTTCCCAGGTTTTATTGAAGGGATATAAGACAAGCCACCCTCAGCTGCTCAGATATTTCTGCCCTCTTAAATCAGTGGCGCTCAGTGAGTAGGAAGAGATGGAATTGCCATATTTGTTCATCTACCCCAGTGCCTCTCACAACCTAGTGTCCTACAGGTGCTGGCTAGAGCTGATGGGAACTGTGGTCCAAAACATCTAGACAGTAATAGTTTGGGGGAGGCTGATTGAGCTCATATTATCCCCTCCAGCCTCCCCAGCTGCCCTCTAGATGTCTAGGCCTTTAGTGTGGTAGCTGTCATGTGTCTGGAATTTCCTGGACATATATGAGATTCGTGAGCCGAAAATAGTGTCTGGGCGGAATTTACAGTAACCAGTTGAAATGTCCAGGCGTATGGCATCAGAAGTGTTGTTTTTTGGTGAATTTCCTTTAAAAATAGCTTAAAAACGGAATTTTCACTTTTTGAAATATGGCAACCCTATGATATTTCGCAGTCTGTATCAGAGTTGTTTTGAATATGTTTTTGTTGGTACAGGGGCGGGGTGGGGGGTAGAAAGGAGAATTCCCAGGATGCCACAATCCAGGTTTGGGGCAAGTACTCTTTTGTGAGATAAGCCCAGCAGAGATTTAAAAGCACAAAATATGCAGCAAAGTAAAGCAGGGGAATATAGGCTGTTAGACCTTCCAAATACACCCTTCCAAGCTCCTTTGAATGTTTCTCACTTCCCCTAGCGTCAAAAAAAGACTACACATTTAGTAAAATGGTTTACTTACAAATTCTTCAAAGGTCTGGTTCATGTGCTTTTTCTATACCTCAGTCAGAAAAGTTGCACAGGCAGTAAAACCTGATTTAGTTAACAAAGTGGTGAAAGTTCCTAAATTATTGGCATAGGAACACAAGAATGGCTGTTGAGAACCATACCAGCTTAGCCTCTTCACATGCTGAGTTCATCAGGTAGACTGGGGAGGGAACAAAGGCTTGATTACCTAGTTCTTTGCGGTGTGAGAGGAAGTGAAGATCGCTAAGCCTGGCTGGGCAAGGTTTCCGAAACTTGGATCTCCAGCTGTTTTTGGACTACAACTCCCATCATCCCAAGTTAGCAGGACCAATGGTCAGGGATGATGGGAATTGTAGTTCAAAACCACTGGAGACCCAAGTTTGGGAAACCTTGCTCTATGTTATTAACTCCTTCATGCATTAATTAGACTAAAGTGTGATGGTTCTATGAGGCTACTTACAGTATTCCACATTTTATTGTTTTATTGCTGTACGTTGGCAACCATGGACCCCTTTGGGAGGAAGGTTGGGATATGAATTAATTAAATAAACAAATAAATATAAACACACAGAATTTATTAGAGGGCAAGTAGCAGACAAGTGAGATAATTTTTAAAGATAAGTGAACTCTTCTAACTAAATTTATGAAGAATAGATATAAGGTAAAGTTTCTCTGTGTGGATAAATAGACATATATATAGTAGCATGTATTTAAGTATTTGTTGTAATTACATTATATTTCTGAGATTTAATAATAGTTAATAATATTGATAATAATTACAATTAATTAGTCAATGCAAATTTTATGCAGTGTTGTGGAGTTCTGCCCCTGTGTCTCATATAGATACAGTGCTTTTTTCTGGGGGTACACAGGGGTACGCATACCCCTAAACATTTTGTGAATCTAAGTTTGGCCTCATTGAGGGACAGTATTTCAATATGAGTAGGAAAATGAGAGTACCCCTAAACATTTTTTTTAAGAAAAAAAGCACTGTATTTGTTTGAAACCTGCTTTGTTTGGATAGCAAATATTTCTGACAGGGAGTGTGAAGTAGTTACTTAAAACAGCATTTTCCCTTTCAACGTATCAAAATACAGCCATGGGTTTGACCCAGAGCTGTTCAAACATTTTCCTTTCTGCTGGATTGATTTTCTATTTCTATACAAGTCCTTATCCTGAATTAGTATTTCCCAAGAGCAACAAGCAAAAGGTTACAAAAATACCCCCACCCCTCCAAAATGAAAAGGATAGGCATCTCCAGCACAGACTCCTAAAATACCAGGTGCCAGGTAAATGTTCACATCTCAATGCAAGGCATGAACTTAAATAGAGCCGCAAGCAAATATGACAGGGGACTTTTTCTGCACGTCAAACAGTGTGGGCACAAATTCTTCAAGTTTAGGGATGGCAAGGAAATAACATCACATAACCAAACAGATGGCCAAACCTCTGGACTTGTTTACAGCCACTGAAGAGCCTTTTGATTTAAAACATGGTGGTGTTAGTAGCAAGACCGGTGAGATGTTGCATAAGGCTTTTGAATAGCAAAGGGCTGGTGTCTTCCTTAATATAGAAAACACTCACTGTGGAACACCGGGGCATAGCTGTCAACTTACAGATTTGAAAATAAGGGACCAGCAGCCTCAAAAATAAGGGATCAGCAGCCAAAATAAGGGATCAACAATTACTTTGATAAAATACATATTTTGTTGCGTGCAAATGGCTTTAGATACCTATTAGGTCCATAAATTACCATATAGCATATATTCAGTACAAAAAAACCAACAATTTGTTATTGACAAAGGACAGCTGGACATAGAAAGGGCCCCATTACCTTCAGTAGCTTATTTAAGGGACATCATCAATAAGGGACAGCAGT